ATTAGCAATACTAAAACCCCAAAACCCCAAAACCCCAAAACCCCGTGCATAAGAATTTAGACTAATTTATGAAAAATATTGTTGTTATAAATAGAAATTAATTTGTCTGTATCAAATATGATTAAGTCTACTCACATTTTACTTTGGCTTTTAGTATTGCTAATATACTCTATATAGTCAATAAGAATAGAGGTAAGCAATGAGCACATTATCTAGAGGCTATTGATGGAACAAGGGCACCTTCATAGTTTTATAAATGGAAAATGGAACGATTTAGGACATTATAATGACTTTATTTAACTTGACTTTGAGAATATGAGGACAAGAGATCCAGCTGATTCAATGAAGAAAGCCATTGAGTTCGTGTTCCATGGCACTGTAGGTTCTCAAACACATTATGAGAACTTTATGGCAACAATTCATACACAACAAATTCCAGCTACAGAGTACGATATTTACAAGAATAAGCTAAAACATGATATATTTGTCAGCGGAATAGATGACTAGCAAATGACTTAAGACGTAAAGCAGTCATTACAAAGATTATGTGAAGTCCTTGGTGATTGGACAAATAATAATCTCTATCATTATTCTTCGGAATAATTTTATGCGATGCATCTAGTAACTTATGTATTAACAAGAATTGCAGGTACCTTCCATACTAATGGTCAATCCTGCTTCTTAGATTTTAGTGCTTAAGATATTCATCTTTCAACTATAGCTACTAACCCCATTCTAAACTACTATTCTGATCTACCATAATAAGAACCAAAATTTTTTGGAATTACAATTAGCGATAAATTTGTAGAAGAGTTTATCAAGGAATTGATTAAGAGAAAAAAAAGGTTGAATGTTCTAGAATACATAGAGCTATTCCCAGAGTTTGATGACTACTCAAGTAGAATGAGAGTTGGAGAGGTTTCAGATATATTTCCTAATCTCATTGAATCGTATCATCCTAAAAAGAGATTCAGCTTAGAAATTAATCCGAAGGAGCCTTTAGAAGAAGGACTTTAATATTCCAATTAAAATACACTTGTCTAGTTTGGCTATGGTCAAGTAAATATCTTAATTCCACTTGTCTTTGATATACTTGTTGGGAAAACTCTATTTACTTGGGAGAGAATAGCACAAGGCTACCTTGGAATAGGAGGATTATCCAAGATCAAACAATATGACGATGGTACATTGAAATTCGATATAAAATCTAATGTCAGAATTTAAAAGCTTGCTTTAAAAAACATCTCAACCTCATAAAGTAATAATGACTTATATTTCTTAATAAATGTTAATAGATATGGTTGAAGAAGAGGCTACATCGATGGCGTTAGGAAATTTGTTTTTAAAATCTTATCTTTCACCTCCTCTAAGTTACGTGTACCCTCTAACTCTTGATCATGACTAAGTGAAGTTTGATATAAAAGATCTGGTGGAAAGAAAAATTAAATGTAAATTCGTCCCAGGTTTCTTTGATCTGATTGTTTACCCGTTAGATTTTACCTAGATACCATCTGAGGGTTTAAGATTAAAAGAAAAATATGGCCTCGTTAGTCAGGGATTTAACTATGATGAATAAAAGAGAAAAGCTGCTTGGGAATTAAAATAAAAAGTTATTTAACAAGAATCCTTTAAAAAAGAGATGTTAGATCCGAAGAAAAGAAAATCTTGGCTAACTAATAATTAGATTAATCTTGACTGGCTATTGTGAGGATGTATCATTTTATACTATCTTTTTACAATAAAAAGAATAAGTTAATTATGTTTAATTTGCAATTGGTTGATGAAATAAAATAAAATAGGAGATTTGAAGAAAAAATTTTGATTATTATGTTTTAATTTTAATTTTTTATTCAATTATTGATTTATGGGGTTTTGGGGTTTTGGGG